TAGCATGATATATTATATTTTTATATATTTAAAATTTCAATTTGCAAACAGATATGCTACTTAATATGTTATTATTTTTACTTAATATTTTCATATTTATGTGGAAACCATGATACATTTTTTCAGGGTTCTTTAATTCAAAAACAAAAAGTTCAAAAATAGCATTTATTTGAAATCAAATATTCTGTAACATTATAAATTTCTTTACTGTCACTTTTGATCAATTTAATGTGTCCTTGCTGAATAGAAGTTTTTTTTTCCCCTTTTTTTTCAAAAACATCTTACTGACCCCAAACTTTTAAATAATAGTGTACATAAGAAATAGTATTACTGCTAATATTACTAACTGATAATATAAGAATGCAAAAAGCTCAAGAGAGAAACAAACAAAAAAAAACATTCTGTAAAAAATCTCTCATTTGGTTGTATTTATGTAAAAATTCTGAAATGCCAATACTTTCTCATTCAGCTTTTTTGAGGAGCAACGTCCTCCTTGGAGAAATTGCTTCACACTCAGATGCACCTTCACTGAAGCAAGCAATAGGAAGTGCTTGGCTCTTTGTTTGTCCTGCAGGTTATGAGAGATAGTGAATGTGGGGACGGAGTCATTCACTCATAAAGGAGCTCCCACATTGTTCTTAACGGCAGGGCAGGTGGGGGTGAAATATCAGTGGGGTCCACTCTTATTCTCTCCTACACAGGAAAACAGAAGGAGGGTCATATATTTCTCTCTCAGACACTTTTACTGCCTCTGTTATGAGTGAGGACCAGCCTGTTCACACAATGGACACACACTAAAGTCATATGTTAGAGCACATGAGCGATTTGTTAAGGCGGCAGCGTGTGTTTAAAGACAATATGGTGCATAAAGGTGTGAGTAAGAGTGTGTTTAAAAAGTCAGATGCATTTAAAAAGTCACATATACAACTGCATGCATATTTAAGCAATATCACACAAACAAGAGTGGGGAAAAAAAACATGATTACGATGTTGCTTTTATACAACAGTTACAATAAATTTATATTGAGTAACCTACATTTCAACACAGTAATGCCAGTTACTTTGTCTGTTTTTGCTCTCTCGACAAAAACAGTTTGGGAAGCAGCAGTAGAACCGCTGTGTGTCTCAGAGCAACACACATTAGTAGTTTTTCATTACTGAAGGAATCAGCATTTTTAGTAAATGATTTGAGATTTAACGACTCACTGATATGATAAAGTCACTTGTTTAGTTCCTAAATGAATTTTCAGTGAATCAACTCAATTAACAATTCACTGACTCTGGTCACTTGTTTCCTTTGTGAATAAATCAAAGGAATGAATCAAGTGTTTTTTAATGAATCGACTGAAAAGTCAGTTATCACCACCTACACTGTGGCATTCATGTACTCTATGGAGGACTGAAATGCATGCATGCATGCATGATGATAACAATGGAAAAAAAAAAGTATATTGCATAAAATAAATGATAGATGAATAAATAAACTAAATAAATGACCAAATATATACTGCACAAAATAAATACATGTGAATGATTAAATTAGAAAATATTATGCTGCATAAAAAATAAATAAATAAATAAATTGTCCAATGTGCACTTATAATAACTAATAGCTTTCTAATGTAATGCATTCATTAAAATTGTGATTACAATAATTCATTACATTTTTACACTGTAGAAATAATCTATGAAAAATCCCAACCACTGACAGACACTCAAACAAGCATTCGAAAGAAGCAGTAAAAAGTCCCAGTGCTGTTGAACTGTTATATCAGCATTCTCAGAACATATTATTATAAAAAAATAAAAAAATAAAATCAAATTAAAAAATATTAATGTACAGCAGTTTTCACATGCATGCATAATGTCAGCTCCATTTTATGCATTTAATCAAGCTATATCCCTTACAAAAGCATTATGTAAGCCTATTGTCCAGTTTTACCAGTGTAAGCGGTCTTATTTTACCTGTTTGTCAGTCTGTATGGATAACACTCCAGCTGATGCTAAAAAAAGAATGAAGATTATTAATATATATGCCCAGAGTGACATGCAACACAGTGTTTAACCCTGGGTCAAGTTATTAGAGATTTTTGTAGTGCCAAAGGTATACAGTGTGAAGCGATACAATGCCAGAATGTAACATTCTGTTTAGTAACCGACATCCAATGATAAATTGCTTCAGTGCTTACCTCATTAAATATTCATGAGCTTTGAACTGTCAGAAACTTTCATGTGCTGTTTCGTTTCAGCATCTGAGAGGGTAAAAAATTAAAATATTGATGAGAAACATGTTCACTGAAGTCTCATTTGGTTTTACTTCTCTCTCTGCATTAACAAGACCTCAAGCAGATTTACATGACATTTTCTGCATAAGCAGTTTCAATGTTGTGCGCTGTATTCATCCAATCAATGTTACTGATCTCAGAAATATACGAATGAGATTGGTTCATTGATACTTTCACATGGTCTTATCTAACAGGTCTACCCAATGTCTTGAAGCAAAACCAGCACTACCTTTAAAAGGGAAATACCAAGCCAGTGGGCCAGACGCTATCAGCCTAAAGCGCAGTGAGTGAATGTGTGGGATAACCGCATTAGAGAGATTTGATACCACTGTGGTTTGTAATCCTTTTGAAGTGAGATCCTTTTTCCAGCAGTGGTCGAAACACAATCCTCGGTTACAGACCCTGGAAGTGATGGTCTTTTTTTTTTACCCTTTTTCAGTGAAATTTTGGAATGCTTTTCAGAATGAGGTGTGAAAAAAAAATGACGAGTAAAGCTCAATTTTGACAAAGTGAGAAATTGGATGTGTTGCTGTTACACAGGAAATGAGTTGATCAGAATGATCTAAGCACTGTAATGTAGATATGGGAACAATACAGTGGTTATGTAATTTAATTTGTTGTATAATGTAATTATAATTATAGTAGTATTTCCTCTTTATTAGAAGATTCACTGCAATGTATTTTATGGAATGATACTGTAAAAGATTTTGAAGGTAAAAATGGTCAATTGGTTCAGCAATTGGTTCAGCTGATGTTAAAAGATATTTAGTTAGTTCACATAAATTAATTGAGCCAACTTAAAATTTCTAATGCAGCAAGTCAGTGTAACATTTTGAGTTTTGACGTTTAAAATCTTCTACAGTAAAAGAAAACAAATCTTGTTGAACTGAACTGAATTGAATGAAATTAAATTATATTCAAATTAAATGAAAGTTAAAAAAAATGCAGTTATAAAAAGAAATAGAAGGACATGTTAAAAACTAAACTAAACTAAAGATAAGATTGTAGAATGGATGGATGGATGAATTACTATAAACTAAAAATCTAAATATATATATATAAAAAAGCTTGACTTTAAAATGAATTTAATTTAATTAAATGGAACTTCAAAATTAAAAACTTTAAAATTAACTTAATTAGATTAGAATTTAATTTGATAATGTTTTAAAGGGGAAAATAGGGAATATAAAACAATGAAGGAAAACAGTAACTTAGTACTGAGCATTGGACACAGAACATTTTGGACATTTTTCTATAAAATGAGGTACAGCATAATCAAACGGTGGGCAAATACACTCCCCACTTCAATTAGCATACATGGGCCTCACCGTACATGCAACCTAACCTCAGTGCATACATTTGAGTGTATGTGCATGAAGGGGGTCTACTTTAGTAGAGGTGCACATGAGATTCACAAAGCCCTCAACACATCAAGCAAAAGAAGAGGGCCACCAATGCAGAAATTGGGGACCATGGGAGTTTTTGTGGGACTTCGGCATCGCCCCCCCATCCCGTTCTTCTTCAAAGTGCACACCGGCAGCTGAGGGGCGTGGCCCATTGAGAGAGGGCTGGATTTAGGCCTTTGTCCCACTGGCTTCAGGGGCGAGTGACATCTTGAACGCTTCAAGAAGATTAAATGGCAAAAGCCCAGTCGGAAACAGAGAGAGAGAGAGAATAAAGAGGAGAGAGGTAGAGAGAGGAATGGCGAGGGTGGGACCCAAGGGTTTGTAAATGTCCGCTGGGGAAATGGAGATTTATAGAAATGGATTCGGAGAGGAAAAGGGGAATGTTGAGGAGAAAAGAGGATAATGAGAGGAGGAGAGGAAAAGAGTGGCCTCAATGAATAGGATTAGACCGGTCTCACCATAAGGAGAGAGAAAGAGAGATGGAGAGAAAGAATGTAGGAAGAACACGGAGAGGATGGAGGACTGTGTGTGTTCATCTCATACACTTCACATCACATATACAATGCATGATGGGAGGTACTTGACACAACGGTCTACACCACACAAAGTCTTTAATAACAGCATGGGTTTGTTAAAAACCATGCAAGAAACAGACGCTAATTAAACAAATAAGCAAAAGATTACTGTAATGTACAGAGCATAAAATGTGCATTCAAAGTTAGTACTGTATAAAAGAAACTGGGATTGTGGTACAAGATACTGGAAAACAGGTACGAAACGCAACATATTTATACATTACACTGATTAATCAGCATGTCATGCAATTCATTATTATTGACAGCCTAAAAAGAAATAAATTAAAATAAAAATGAAATAATTTAAACACCACATGAAATACCTACAAAGCACTTTCAAGAAATATTTTTTAATTAAAATAATAGTTCAATTATTAATATTTTAATTTAAAAAACATTTCTTGAAAGTGCTTTGTAGGTATTTCATTACTGTCACTTTTGATCAATTTAATGCATCTTTGCTGAATAAAATTACTAATTTCTTTAAAATACTGACTCCAAACTTTTGAACAGTATATAAGAATTTTATAAGAATATATATTATAAGAATATTATAAGATATATATATATATATCTTATATTTTGTACTCTACTGTTAAAAAGTTTGGAGTCAGTATTTTAAAGAAATTAGTACTTTTATTCAGCAAAGATGCATTAAATTGATCAAAAGTGACAGTAAAGACATTTATAATGTTACAAAATATTTCTATTTCAAATCAGTGCTGTTCTTTACAACTTCCTATTCATCAAATAGTCCAGCAAATAAATAAATAAATACAATTGTTCAAAATAAAATAAAATAAGCATGGCTGTTTAAGACAAAAATTCATCTTTGCCAACACAGGAATAAACAAAACTTTAATAAATAATAAAATAGAAAACAATTCATTTAAGCTGTACTAATCTTTTCCAATGTTACTTTTTTATTGTATTTTTTATCAAATAAATGCAGTCATGGTAAGCATAGGAGACTTCCTTCAAAAACATTAGAAAATCTTACAGACCCCAAATTACAGACAGTATATAACTAATACAATTAAGCTTAAAATAGCAGTTAAAAGTGTTTAAAAAAAGTACTAAACAAAAGAGCAAGTACCAAGCAGTTTCCTTTTTTACTACTACAGCGCTTTTTACGCATCATTTCAGGTACCCTAGAACAAAACCTGATCTTTCACTTTCTTCATAAAAACCAAAACAAGGAAAGCAAAAGAAAACTGCTCTCCTCCTTAACTTTGCCTTGCCCTTCTCCTCCACTTTCTTCAGTTGCATTTGAAAGAGAATGCCATTCACAAGCCATGCACAGAAACGGCCACATTATTTGAACCTCACAGGCCTACACTAACCCTGTATGTGTGGTTTTGTTGAGTGTAGAGGATGTTGTCGGCTCCTGGGCCGTACTGTTGAGAACGCCCCATCCCAGGCCAGAACACTTTTATCCTTTATGCGTGGGTCAGTGGGTGCCCCCTGGGGGGAAACAACCCCCAGGATTAATGATATGCGTGACATGCATTGTGTGACCCCTGTGGGGTGTGGGGGTGATGTGGGGCTGGGTTATCTAAACTCCCCCTCATCTTGAAACTCAAGAATGTGCATCGGAATGTGCTGGAATATCTGTGTGACTGTTGTTATGAGGCGGAGAGACACAAAGCTCTTCAATAAATGACTGATGTCACTCAGACCGGACAGAATCTGTCATTGTCTGGGTTACACAGTACAAGGAAGTACAAGAAAGGCATACAAGTAGAAAATGTCTAATGAATTATACATGATTGTTAAGTTACTGTTAATTGCACGGATATGTATAATTGTTATGGGATTTTTTTCCCCATCATTTGTTGAGAAATTTAAATTCATTTGATTCAATTTGAATTCAGTTGACTAATTAATCGACATATCATGCAATAAACATGATTTGAAAGGCTAAAAAAAAAAAAAAAACAATAATAATAATAATAATAATTTAACAGCCATGAGAAATATTTAGATGTACATTTAAACTTAGGAAAGAAAAAACAAATAATGAACAGATTTTAAAAATAATTTACAAATATATATTACAAATATTATAAATCATTGTGTTCATTAATTATACCTGAAATTATAACTCTCACATGTCATATTGTGAGAATTATGGGAAATGTGCCAAGGATTTATGTATTAAATCTCTTTCTCTTTCACTGCTTAAGAAATGATCTGTGTTTCCTGATTGCATATTCTTGGAGTTTTTTTTTTTTTTTTTTTTTAGGGTGGGTTTTCCAAGAAATTATATTTTCATCCGTTTAAAATAACCTGTGTTTCCCGATTGCATATTCTGAGAGGGGTTTTTTTCATTATGCATTGTACACCGGTACACTGGTGCACATTATTAATGAATTCACACTTAAAGCCTTTCATGTTTTCTCCTCCTGTCACTCTCTCAGCATCCCTCCATCTGAGACGGCGCGGTCCCTCGTTCCGGTTGAAAAAGAGGGGTTGGGGAGAAAAGGGGGCTTCACTTCACATCCAGTGCAGCATGAAAAACGGGTTCCCTTCCCTTCACATGCAAATCTAGCATTACATAACTAGACAATCTGCTTGGGAGTCTAAGACTCACACATAGTTAGACGCACACACATACATGCACACTGAATGGAGAATGATGCCTTTATCCTGTATGTAAACATGGCTGTTTTAGTTACTCTTAAAAGGTCAGGCAAAGAACACTGAGTTAAACTAATATCAATAATAGGGCAAATTCTAAGCAGGAGAGATATAACTGGTCTGCACTTCAGCACATAGGTACTGTACACTTACACTGACAGGTCTCTAATGTGTAGACAGCAGCGTCTAGACAGTATCGCAACATTCAATTCAATTCAAGTTTATTTGTACAGCGCTTTTCACGATACAAATCATTGCAAAGCAACTTTACAGCAAATGAAGTTTCTACAATATTTAGTGGTAGCTTATCAGTGGTGACTGTCAGTTAATGTACATATGGCAGAAATGT